GATGCACTGAATTTACACTGGACTGTACTTTGAAGGGGAAAAAATATATATATAAAACACTACCAATATAGGTATACGTCTTAACCTGCACGTGCTACTTCTACAGGCTGAACATAACAATTTCAAATCCGATAGCATTCAAAGGAGCGGATTATCTCCGCGTGCTGTAGCCACGTGTATATCTGTATCGGATTTATCTTGCGTCTACTGTACTGAAAACTGGGATATATGCTATAGATAATTTACCTGTCACGTCAAACAGCAGAGGAAGGCCTTAAAACATAAGGCCCTCCTTTCCAGTTCAGTAATCACCCTGCAAACTCAATGCACGCTATATTTTTTCTGTGGTACACACATCATAGTTAAATAAATAACCGAATAGGGCTAATTAACTAACTAGTGCAATAATTATATAAGATACTGCTCAATGAATGTTACTGAAAACGTTGTTAACAATAGACGTGCCTCCTTCAGTTCGAGTTTCTGCAGTCAAATGCAGTGTGGCAATGAATCGACAAGCTGTGGTTGGTGCCACTGAATCTGACAGCAAATTGTATCAGGTTGAACGCGGGACTGCTTGCCTCACCAGCTAGCTTCAATTGCGCGCTGTTGTGCTGAAAGTCGAATCCCTTGAAAGCAGCTGTCTCGATACATAGGCCTACAATATTATTGCTTGCTTGCCAGTTACCATTTTGTTCTTTAGTAGCAAATCTGAACTACGCTCTAACCCTGCTTTGCTCCCTTGCCAATAATTGCTGAAAAGGGTTGAAAGTAAAAAAGAATCATTATTAGATACACCAATGATTGAAAATTACCTCTATGATTACAACGGGCTATAATTACAGGAAATTCATATTACACATTACCAACTTCGAAAAGAAACAGAAGCTATTATAAAAAATATAATGTTTCATGTTCTGGCACTGATAATCTGTAAACTACATCGGTGAAATTTACGCAGGATGTAGAACTTTCATTTTGTCCAGCCCTGCTTTAGCCTTATTACGGAGGTACATATTACATAAGATGCCAGCTAATTGAGACCTATGCTCGCAGCGAATAAAGCAAAGCCTGGCTGGCTAGAATTGCCAACGATGTATTTTATCTGACACGTTCCGCTGTGTTTAATGTATGAAATACCACCGAACCACGAAATATACAAGTCTTTATTTTCAGTTTTTTAAGTGCTAGCTGAAATAACACGATTAACATGACCACTCCCCCCCCGGGGGGCAAGTCAACATTACGTTAAATTCATCAGACAAAACCTAACCTCAAAGTTTCACACGATCGACATGTCTACTTATAATAATTATTAAACAGGCAAAATAATTTCATAAACAATTTGTAGTTTTGTTTATGACCTGTCCCAAGCAAAATTTAACGTCTCTATCTGAAATGTTTAATTAGTTATTGCCAACAAATGGAAATCCAAGCTTAGTTCCCACGGCCTTAACAAATGTTACGTATGCCACAACATAATTTCAGGACTTCACGTCAGGTTAAAGCCAGCGTCGATCTGACTTCGGAAAGTGTCAATGTTGTCATATTGGTGTTACTGACAGGAAATTAAAAACTATAAAGTTTGAGTAGCCTCCAGTTGCGTGACTTTCATAAAAGTTTAATAAATATCCGTCCACTGGTTAAAAAGTTATAGAAGAGAACACACACGGATGTAATGGTACCATAAGCTTACTTTTTCTTATAAAATAAGGAAATCTAAAAATAGGAACGAGGGACACGTCTCCAAGAATGATTCAGTAGAAGGATGTATTGAAACGTCAGCGTATTCTAAACAGGGCAAACTAGACACGACGTTATGCAAACTGGAACCGATGCTAACTCCTTCTTAACTCCGGGCCACGTCTTTATAATTTTCAGCCGTGGTTACCTTACGACTTAATTTCTCATTACCCATTTGTTTCCCCCTTTCCTTTTCCTTGTGTTTTGCCGTCCAGGTTTCCATGTACCTATTTGTATCCCTCATTTCTTTGTCAACTTTTACGCTTTGCTATTCTGTGTTGCTGCCGATTGTCTGTGTATCCGTCATCCGCTCCTAACACTCGAACCGAAATTTCAGAAAGTTCAAAGACAATGTTGAGCCTTAGAATTCAAAGAATTAATAATGTACGTTTGTCCTGAGCTGAAAATATGCGATATGTGGAACAACTATCCGGTAACTGACTGACTAACTAACTAACTACGACTGCCCTGGAAGGTTATTTCTTCACCACGCAAGCTAACATTCTTCTGTCACCCCGGGATGGCTGATTCCAAGAACAGACAACGCCAGATGTCCACATGTGTTAACCAATGAACAGGCAAAATGGACCGCGAAACCTGATCAAGCTATACTTTTAGACAAGAGAGCCCAGAAGCACAATTCCACAGGCAGCATCATGTATGGTGAAGAAAATGTTTCCAAACAAATGATTTTAATAAAGAAATTAACTGAAATACGAGAAATTTCCGTGTACAAAATAAAAGTACGAAGTTCCACTTTTTGGATTGTAGTGGATTATAACAATTACATCACAAACAATGTTCCAATAAAATTTAATTTCGAGGTCAATAAAGTAGGACACAATGACCGTCTAATTTTGGGGTCAATAAAGTAGGACACAATGACCGTGATTTTGAAAGACAATAAAAATATAACACATTTCTAAGAAAGGCCACATTACACTACAAACATACAAATACCACAAAAAGTAGAACTAATTTATACAGACCTATACTATTAAAATTTATCAGTTATTATGTTTAAAAACTCTATTTTGAAATCAAATTGTAAGTTTTTTCAAAGGTTGGGGGGCCTCGAACGTTTTTATTCACATCAAGATTAAAAGTGTTTGGGAACTACTGGTCTAACACATTCATAAACCTTTACTGTACCTGTATAAAATCACTGATGCCAAAAATAAATGAAGAAAACATTCCATAATGTACAACAAATAAGGAATAGGCATTATTACCACAACAATAATTCACAATGTGTATTAAAATTCTATAGAATAGTAGTACATCAGTACTTCAATGTCGATCTCAGTGTTGGACGTTAACAGAAAGCAAATGAGAATAATGGAACTAGGAGAAATACATTTCCACAGAGAAAAATGTCGAATAATATACACCTGTCAGGAAGAAATGGCCATAGCATTTATAAAGAACGCCTGAAGACAGAATTTAGAAGATGTGCTGTCAATATATACCAACGACAGACGATATTATCGACGTCTGACAAGAATCTATAAGAAAGAGTTTTCATCCTTGTAACCGGAAGAGGCCAAGGGATTAATTCTTAAACGTGATTGTGAGACAAATTCTACATCAATACTAACATTGTAACAAACTGCAAAATGTTTCAATTATCCAATACGCGTGTTAAACATTTGTAGCCGAAGCTCGTCTTAACAATCTTTAAACATTAAGCTCCTAGCTCAACGAGAACAAAACTCGTAACCATTACAAATATAATTTGATTAGAGGTGTTGAAGGAAATAATTACATTATTCTGGGAAAAATATGAAACCGACAAATATGCTTTGTGGGCTGAAAACTCAAAATTGTTGATTGTTAACGCAGGTAGTACATAAAATTGCTGATAGACGCTAAAGTGTTAATAAAAGATTATAATTAAACGAAAGATCCTAAATATTGATAATTTGTTGTGGCAATGAATCCTACAATCATGCAACAAACCTTAACATCAATGCTATATTTCTCTGAAGGTTTCAGGCAAATATGTCGCAATAAACAAATCTCCAACGCGAGAGAAAAAAATAGTCCTGGAGAGATCATTTAAAAGTACTTCACAAGATTCATTTTACGACAGAAAATTTGAAAACACATACAGTAATTAAAAATAAGCTACTGATAAGTGTTATTTGCAAAAAAATATGTGTTAAGTAATACTTACAAACCAGCTGAGCATTGCGCTGTTATTGCTGTGGCGTCTAGTCAGATATCAAGAAAGGATATAAATCCGCAATGTGACAGCCAGGATTTATGAGATGAATATTCCATGCGTATTCCGGCCCTTCAACACACGTCAAGTCGGTGGCACAACTTCACTATCACAGATTCCACTCGCCTCTGAACCTGATATGATTTCTATGGTACGACGGTAACTTAAACACGACTAATTAGTATCTGTTCATTACCTCAACGCATTTATAGTCTTTCACACCTGACAAAAACAAATACTACACAATCATTAATAGTCTTGATATCAAAACTGTTCGTCGAGACGCAGTGTTCATTACTGTTAACACATATTGTTACTTCATAAAATGTTACTGCAAAATTAATACATCTGTTTGCATTGATTGTTAAGCACTTTGAGAGTCATTACTTTAAAATATAAAGTTTCCTTGAAAATAGGATCTACAACAATAAATCTCATAGGGATTTAAATAAACAAACACAATTTGCATTCCTATTTCCGTTAAACTAAGTCAGTTGGTGTATGACTCAATAACACGTTCACTTGTTTTGATTAACACCATATGCAAACTCACTTCTTCCTGTCTTGTATAAAGTCAACAGGAACAAAGATTAAATTTCCTAAAGTTAGTAGCTTTATACAAAAGTATACGGGCCACATATTCGATTTATGTTTAGAGTAGCAGGATTAATTTAATACAAGGCAAATTATAGTTTCAGTCAAGTACAAACTTTCTGTATTGTCTTTCCTATCCTAAATTCTATTCCGTCAAATGACGACATTTTGTCACATCGTCATGGGGAGTTATGGCTTCACTTGGAACACGTACAGTTACTTATATAACTAAAAGAACACAAAACAAAAAATACAGTTTAATACAAACCACGTTGTCCTGCAACGTATTATATTAAACATAATGTTCAAAGTGGATCATGAGTATATGATACCACATCATAAGATATTTTGTTTCTTGAAATCAAGGCGATGTGAAATGTGAACTCAATATAAAGTCAGCTGACCTGCAGCTGTTTTAAATACAAAAGAGCTGGTGATCTATCGGTTGCATAAACGTTTATTTTAGACCTCTTATTTGTTTAAAACAGAATAAACATCACAACATTTCGTATAAAGAAAATAAAAGCTACGCTTTATTGCAAAGAATCATTGACCTGCAACATTCGTGGGCCCGTCCAACCGTAATTTCGGATGCAAAGCACTCGATGTCATGTGATATTAAGTTTATCTCAAGTGATTCGCCACTTTATTCGGTTATTAAATCCCAGAATTATGTGATAAAAGAAGTCTCGCCAAAAATAGATAGTCAGCACGCAACTTATTTTAGAATCAGTTATTTTCTTTCAGTAACAAGCTGCAATGTTAACATTTTCCGTAAGTCCAACAAGAAGTAACAAACTTCATTGGCTTGTACATGTTTTCACACAGAGGTCTATCGATAATTGCAATCCATCACTTTAAGCTCCAATTTTTTAAATTCACGTCCAACAATTAGTAACAACAAAACTGACCAGCAATTTCTTTAAACTCAAATATGTTGATAATTTACACACACGTTTCTGTATCTCTTTTGAACAGTAAGTTAACTATTTAAAAGTAATTGACCTGCAATTTCTTTCAATGCCAATATGTCTTGAATGTGTCAAAGAACAAGTAATAAAAGAAATTGACCAGCAATTTCGTTCAAATCCAATATCTGGATAATCTAAACTATCGTTATTGGATTTTTGTCCAACAATACGTATTGGAATGAAAGTAATTGACCGGCAATTTGTTTTTCAATTCCAGTATGTCCACAGTTTACACACACGTTCTTGGAATTCATCCAATAATATGTAAACTATTTAAAGAAATCGACCTGCAATTTCTTTCAATATGTCGGTAATTAACAAACACGTTCTTGGATGTGTCCAAAAATAAGTAACTACATCAAAGTAATTGGCCTGCAACTTCCTTCAAATGAATTACGTACATAATTCACATTTTAGTTACTTGAGGTTTGTCAAACAGAAGCTAATCTATATAAAAGTAACTAGCTTGCGATTGTTCTATTTTCAGTTTTAGCAACTCACTTGCCACTTGATCTCTTTCTGTGGAACACAAATCAAATGATACATTGTGGTAAATTCAACTTCAGTTACTTCTATATGTAGCATCTTGCAAATGCACTGATTATTCACTTTAAGTCAATGTGACTACTAAAGCAATGATTAGATTCCTTAATCAGTTTCTTCATCAAAGATACGAATAGAAGAGTTGTCGATCCGCAAATTCAATACACGGAATTTCTTACAGAGTTGAATTTTCTATTTATTTCTCCCTTTAATCAATTAAATCACCTTTTACACACACTTGGTGGCCAGCTTCGTCACGATATTTCTGCACACACGCCTTTATGCCAGTTAAATATTTAGATTCCACTGCACCTATTTCATGTGTAATTTTTATTAAGAAAGATGGAGTTTGTATAAAGGTTGTTGACCAGCAACTCCCTCTAAACCCACTTTTATTTTCTGGCAAAAGAACTCGGTTCAACGTTATTTTTACACATTATAAATCATTTTACGCGCTTTAAATGTTTACTTAATCATAAATGAAAGAATGCAAAACCAAAACGACTGTTTATGAAGTTGACCAGCAACTTCTATCAAGGTCTTTTAGCAGTTTCTACTGTCACAACATTTTAGAGAATACAATAAAGACTAGAAGAAAGTTCTGAGTCAATACAACTTGGGAAAGACGCATGGATAATTAATAAAAGTGTTAACATAGACTGGTATGTTCTGATATGAAACGAAGAATGGACACTAGGCAGGCGAGTTGCAGGTTAGAAGAGCAGACAGATGATGGTTCCATGCTATAGCCTAATTGAGGTTAACCTAACACACGATGAGAGCAAAGCACTAACACTTCGACCCTGAAAAACAGGGACTCAGTACCATCTTTAACACAACAAACCTCATAATGAACAAGGAAACATACTGAATTTACAGTTATATTCCTTAACGAATAATGTTGTAGTCCATAGCGTCACAAAGCACATCTTTCCCATTATATCGAAGTGAAGAAAGAACATTTTAAGAACACGCAAACATTGTTAGTCCTTGTTCGTACAATACACATACAAAACACATTCAGCCAGTAAACGGACGGCCGGAACATCACATGTAAGCCACATACGCACACATCTTAGAACTGCGGACCAACTAGAAGCAGTACGACTCTGAGCTGAGCTGTATGTCATGACGGTGCCACTGGACGCCCACCTGCAAAAAGCGGGTAGCGACGCCTAACGTTAACACGGGGAACCGCATCGGACGCGAGTGCCAGGAGGATATTTCTTCCGAAGCAAGCGTTGGTCTCTCACTCGAAAGTTATACAGTGCTGAGTGCATGTAGGCTGAGGCATCAGTGTTTCATGTAGCACAGAAATACACAGAGGGCGTGCAGTCAGCATCTTTACAAAAACAAAATACGATTTTAAGTTTCTGATACAAATAAATATCATACGCTATTTCAAACAAATACGAATATAAGTTCAGTTCATTCTTATTTTTAACGATGCTGTTAGTACTTCAGTCAGTACAGCGAAGAATAATGGTATTACTGGATAGTGAATAGGAAAATATACGGCAGAAAGCAATGGTGGCCTAATTTAAGGTGATATCCAGACATTAACCAGAACGGACTTAGGAAAAACCATGCAACATGTCAGTCAGGGTAGACGGTCCCTCCAGGTCGAAATTTCAACCAGTATTTTAAAAATATGAAGCA